TCACTTGGTAGCCCAGGCTGGCCTCGAACTCACAGAGATCCGCCTGGCTCTGCCTCCCGAGTGCTGGGATTAAAGGCGTGCGCCACCACCGCCCGGCAGGAACCTTTCTTATTGGAATCCTCGTGCTACTTTTTTCAATCTTAAATTTTAATTTTCTGTCACCTTTTTGATACTTTATTTATTAGAACCAGACTAGAGAACATATTTTGTTAATAAACATAGCTGTGCAGTATGCCCAAGGCCTGGGAAGTAAGTTAGTATATCCTTTAAGGTATGTTAAAAATGGCTCTGTGTTCTCTGTGTTCTAAACACTTGAGTAAACAAGGCATCTGTGTATGGCTGTGGAAAATCTGCTAGGTAAACATGTGGAAAGTATTCACTCTTGTCTCATCTTTAGCAAACATTTATTATGTGTGGTATACCTGTCTGTCTCAAGTGGATAAATGCATATTCTCTGGAACCTGACTGCCAAAGATTCTGTTGTGTACCACTGAATAATACTTAACTTCCCATGCCTCTGTTTCCTGTGTTACAAGATTAAATGTATATACCCTTATGCAAATATGATACATAATAAATAGAATATTAGTGGTAGCTGTTAATTGTGCAAGAATTTGCTGATGGAATAACAATGACTAAATTGAAAATATTCTTTTTAAAAGTTCATCTACTGGAAGGGTTATCCATAGGACAACCTTAGTATTACAGGCTTAGAATTAACAGGTTGCTATTGTGTTCTGTTTACTACCTTGAAGAAGGTAATCAATTCATTTCTGCTGTAGTAAACAAAGAACATTCCAGAATCTCTTGAAGAATTTGGATAAGATTTCAGATCTGGCCTTTAGGTTTTTATGGCCAGACTGCAATTCAACCCTTCTCAGAGAACAACTTTTTTTCTTTTTTTAAAAAAAATTACACAATGACTCCATACTTCTGTTTTCATTGTAATTATATATATATAGAGAGAGTTACAGAGTAGAAGAAAAACGGAAAGTTCCTTCCTTATCGCCACTACTACCAGCTTGACGAAGCAATTACACCTAAAATGTAGTGGGTCTCTGGGGCTACGGTTAGGATTAGAAAAATAAAATGGTTTATGTGTCTCTGATAGATCATTTTAATTTACATAATTTAAAATATATTTGTTCTGCCCAGCTTTGTTTTATATGTATTCCTTCATTTAATCTTTTTTCCTTTAATGCTCTATCTTAACTGTCTTTCATTGCTAGTTTATAAGATCTACTTCATTTCTTTTAACTGCCAAAGTATGTAGTTAGCATGGATGTACCATTACTATTGTGCTATTATGAATAAGACACAGTGATTCGCTCTGAATTTGAATATATAATCTTAAAATGTTTGTTGAATATCATAGCAAAACATTAGTGAAATACCTAAAAGTATGTAGAAAATGTGCTTGTAATTCTGTCACTTAAAGATCACTGTTTACACTTAATATTTGTCTCATATGTATGTATGTGTATGTGTGTGTACAAAGATGTACATGTGTGCTGTTGTATTTATATATGTGAAAATTAGAGGCTAACAGCCAGTGTCATAGTTCAGGAACTAGATAAACCTTGTTTTCTGAGGCAGGGCCTCCTCCTCGGGACCTGGGTCTCGCAGCTTAGGCTAGGCTGGATGTTCAATAAGCTCCAGGGATCTGCCCATCTCTGCCTCCCCAACACTGGGATTACAAGTATACAGTACCAAATCTGATTCTTCTGGGGATTGAATTTGGGTCTTTGTGCTTAGTGTCAAGCACTTTACTGACTGAACCATTTCCCTAGCCCTCCCCAAATCTGTTTTTTGTTTTGTTTTGTTTTTTAATTCAAGCACATTAGCTAAAATTACACTATTTGTTATACTTTCATATCCTTTTTCACTTTCTTAGCATTTCCTGTTTGTGTTTTAATCACATGTTATAATAGTGTAGAGACATTAGAGAGGTGGTATTATTAGTTAAAGCACCGCAGTGTGCCTGTGTTCATGCAGGGTGGTGTGCACAACTATCCCAGCACTCAGGAGGCAGAGGTAGGCGGTTCTGTGGGAGTTCGAGGCTACCCTGGTCTACATAGGACATACATAGGACAGCCAGAAGCTGTCTCAAAAAAAAAAAAAAAGGATGCCTAAGTTTAAAGCTCAGTTTTATTACTAACTAGCTGGTGGGACCTAATATTTGTATGATATTGTTTGCTGTTGTTATTTTGGTATTACTAGCATTTTCCTTGTGTTAGACATTGTTTCTAGATTTTGTTACTACTAACTGATTAACAATTGTAATTCATTACCAGGAATGCAAAAACTAAATTGACCTGATAATCCCCTAATCATTTCTTCCTTTAATTTTAGGCCTTTGAGGTGAATATAAGTTTGTTTACAGGATAGAAAGACTTTGGCTTACAGATATGAAATAGTTGAAAATAAAATTATTACAAAAACTGTTTAAAAATTGGTGGTGCAAGCCTATAATCCAGCACTCTGGAAGCTGAGGCAAGAGGATTGCCAAGTCTTGCGGCTACCCTGGGCTATATAGTGGCCTTGTCTCAGGACATCAAAACATGAAATAGAACAAAAATTGTATAGTAGAGGCTAACATATCATCAGCATTATTCTGAAGCTTATGCAGTCTTCAATAGTTTTTACCCCCAAGAAACATTATTATTCAGTATTTGATTCACTGAATTTTCCCTCTTCTTCTTGAATAAAAATGATACAATTTTGAGAATATCTTTTAGAAAAGCACATAGTGCTTTTAAGTAGTGCAAATAAATACGATTTAATGTTTAATACGAGATTATACTTCTAATTTTGAACTTTCAAGACCTATAACATACTTAATGTTGAAGTTTTAATTTGAAGCATAATTGATGACCTTTAGCTAGAGATATTTCATTTTTATCAATGAGTATAAATTACAGATGGTAAACATAACCCGTAATGAAAAAAGTTTTACACTCCATTGGAGTGTGTTTTAAATCTATTAAATGTATGTAGTAACATCAATCTTCTTTTGAATGCTATTGGAGTGCCATATTTCTACTTGGGAACGTTAGTTATGTGTTTCAGACCTGTAATGTGGGCATCTAAAGACAAAGATGAAGGAAGGCACATGACCCCAGCAACTGCTGAAGAATAACATTTCTTCTGTTTTGATTGATTGTCACCACGCAAAGTCTACAAGCTGTTCCCAGCCCAGAGTTCTTGTGACTGCAAGCCCTGTATATCAGAGCGCCTCAGTTTCTCCTTTGCACTGTCTCATCCAGTCGGAGGGTCTGCTCACACTTCAGCCATCTCCCTCCTTTGAGTCTTCTTTGGTTCCCTTTAATTCTTCATTTCATTTCACTGTATTTCCTCCTTCCACTGTCTTTTTTTCTCTTTTATTACCTAAAAAGAACAAGGTTAAAAGGTAATACTCTTTGACTTTTCTTAATAGATATTTAAATTCTCTTCCTTCCTAACTTCTCCACAAAATTTACTTAAACCTTGGTAAGAGTGACAAGAAGAAGTAATAGCAGGGCAGGCACAACTGCCTCCTCCTTGTATTCATAGCAGACATTAGCATCACTTTCTCCTAGTGGTCTCGTGGCTGGCTTCGGGATTTTGATCAATAAACTATCCAGCATTTAAACTAGTCATGGAGGTAGCCATACTTATTTCTCACCCTAGCCATACTGTGGTTTTAAATTAGTAATAACTTAAAAAGATAGCCTTTGGGATAGGCAGATAGTTTAGGCAGTCTTGTTTATAGAGAACTTGAATGCAATTCCTAGAACCCCTGTTTAAAAAGCTAGCTATGGTGTAACATGTATGTAGTCGCAGCATTGGCAAGACAGACAGGAAGATCCTTGATGTTTCCTGGGCCAGCCAGTCTAGCCTACTTGGTGAATTCCAGGACAGTAAGAGACCATGTCTCAAAAAAAAAGTTGGATGGTATTTGGGAAACACATGAGTTTATTCGCTGGCCTCTACATACATGTACACTCCCACACATGTGTCCCTATACACACATAGACATAGAAGGAAAACTTTGGGCATTAGGTACAGGTATATTATAATAAAACATATTATAAAATTGAGGTTTGATCATCCCCTTTGACATTTGAGTAGGAATTTTCTGGATATATTCAAAATTATTTGATTTAGCTAACCCATTTTTAAAATATTTAATGAAACTTAAAATATTTTGATGGGTAGAAAAGATTTGAGAACTACACAAATACACAGAAATTATGAGCACCTATTATTTCACTACCTAGAGACCCTTGTTCACATTTGGGTGTGTGTGCATATGTGTGTTTAAAATGTAGGTTAAGAATGTATTTATTGTTTTCAACCTTTTAAAAAATCTGTATTTTTTTTCAGACTAGAATTGTGTAGGAATGGTGTGGGTTAAACAAGATAATAGTGTTGAGTGTATAGCCAAGTTTATGGCTCTCACATTTCTTTAGATATTGGATATAGTCTGCTTATCATTATCACCTTATAGCAAGGCTAATTCTTAAAAAAAAAAAAAAGACAAAAGCAAAAAGCATCAGAAGGATAGATGCTTCCTAAGACTGGAGCTAGGATGTAATTTACGGGGGATTTCTTATGGGTTAACTAAAAATGTTTGCCTTGGTGTATATAGTAAGCATTTAAATATTGCCAATAAATAGTGCTGTTTGAAAGGCTGAATGAATGGCACTACATTGTATAAATGTCCTCATATTTGCCTACTTGGCACATTTAGAGTAAATCTAAAGCTCCCTGTTATTAACAGAGGTAGGATTAATAATAGCCTTTAATTCGCATTTCTTGACTCTAAGAAGTGGAATTACTGGATCAAAAACATGTCATATTGTAATACTTTCAGTTCCATTGACTGTTTACATTCAAGAAAGTTTGAACTAGTTTATACTTTCCTCAGTATTTCAGAGTGCCATTTTCTTTCTTTACTTTTTATTTTATGTGTGCTTTGTCTGCATTTATGTTAAGTACACCATGAATGTACAGTGCCCACAGAGGTCAGAAGAGGGCATTATATCTCCTAGAACAGGAGTTACAGATGGTTGTGAGCTGCCATTGGATCTTAAGAATCCAGCTCAGGCCCTCTCTAAGAGCAATGACTGCTCTTAATCGTGGAGCCATCTCTAGCTTTAAGAGAGTGCCATTTTCTTGAACTTTATCATTTTTAATATTTAATTTGAAACCCTAGCAGTATTCTTTTTATTGCATGGGATGAAATACAACTCAGCTAAGTGTAAGGAAGAGAATGCAGTTGTAGCTCACACAGTTTAGCTTTGGTTAAAGAAACAGTTAAATTGAAAGTCTCAAATTCTGTGTCTTCAGAAAGTAATCCCTGGCTTTATCTAATTGTTACTTGGCATGCATACTTCTGTATTTGCATGTTAGTGTCACTCTGCCCTTCACAGGATACCTATGTGGAAGTAAAGAATGTAGCATTCTCACATCTCCATGTATATAGTTTGTGATTTTAAAAAAAAAAATGAAAAGACACTCCTTTACTGGTATTTGGGTATCACTTTCCTGGAAGAATGCCATTTTTCCCTGCTTGAGTTACTCATTATTAACTATGTGAATGGGATTTTCTGATTACACGAGTCGTGTCTCACTGTAGGTTTTTTTGGTTGTCTCTGAGAGTATCATCACCTCACACATAAGGCAAGACTGGGACCAATGCTGGCATTGCAATATGGGCTGTGGGTTTTGTTGCAAATGAGCCGAATTTATATTCTACAGTTTCTGTCAAGCATAGTATTCTGCAGCTGTATTGTAATCTTTTTCTTATGATTAGCAAATTTATCAAGCCTTTTCTGCTATTCCATCTTAAGAAGTGGCAATGGCACTTGTCTCTCTAGGTCTGACTTTGTTCATGTATGAATTAAGATATAGGAATCATTGCTTTAGGGGGTTTTTAGCCCATGTGCAACACTCAGACAGTTCTTGGTACTCAACATTCACATTATAATACTTACTAAATTGTTTTCAGAAGAGTTTCACTCTTGAACTTTGAAGATTCTGTTTAAAATCACTAAAGCACTCATCCCTCCCTGCCCTTTACACAGATCTTATCTATTTACCCTTCCGAGGGTGATCCATGCATGTCCCTCTTAGGGTCCTACTTGTTACCTAGCTTCTCTGGGGCTGTACATTGTTCCCTGGTTATCCTTTGCTTTACACTTAATATCCACTTATGAGTGAGTACATACTGGTGTTTGTCTTTCTAGGTCTGGGTTACCTCACTCAGGATGATATTTTCTAGTTCCATCCATTTGCCTGCATATTTCATGATGTCATTGTGTTTTACCGCTGAGTAATACTCCATTGTGTAAAATGTACCACATTTTCTTCATTCTTTGGTTGAGGGGCACCAAGGTTGTTTCCAGGTTCTGCCTATTATGAATAATGCTGCTATGAACATAATTGAGCAAGTGTCCTTGTGGTATGATTGCATGTGCTTTGGGTATATACCTAAGAATGGTATTGCTAGGTCTTGAGGTAGATTGACTTCCAATTTCCTGACAACCCGCCATACTGATTTCCAAAGTGGCTATACAAGGTTGCATTCCCACCAGCAGTGGAGGAGTGTTCCCCTTACTCCAACATCCTCTCCAATGTAAGCTGTCATCAGTGTTTTTGATCTTAGAGCTCACAGATTCTGGACAGCTGGGGAGCCTACATGGGACCAAACTAGGCCTTCTGAATGTTGGTGACAGTTGTATGGCTTGGTCTGTTTGTGGGGCCCTTGGTAGTGGGATTAGAATTTATCCCTGGTCCATGAACTGGAGCCCATTCCCTATGATGAGATACCTTACTCAACCTTGATGCAGAGGGGAGGGGCTTGGTCCTGCCTCAACTTGCTATGCCAGGCTTTGTTGACCCCCATGGGAGGCCTGACCCTCTCTGAGGAGTGAGGGTGGAGGTAGGGACTGTGGTTGGTATATAAAATAAAAAAAAAAAATATTATTATTTTCCTAATCCAATAAAGAATGAGGTCCTTTAAGCCAAGTTAAAATGGACTGTAACCATGGTAAAATAGTTAATGCTCCTCTTTACTTTTTCCAGGATATCTAGCCTTTGTATATTAAATGAAGGCTCTGTTTTGTTATGTAACATATTCTAAATATTCTCCATGGTGATACTAATAAAGAGGGGAAAGTCTGAATGGTTTTTCGGCTGCTAGAGAGCAGGAACTTAAGAAAGGTATTTCCATATTTCCATATGGATTTCAAGAATCCCATCAAATAGCTTTTAACTTACTGGTAAAAGAAAGTTAAAGATTGCCTGTCTTTGTAGATAACACAATTAAAATAGTTTGGGGTTTTTGGTGTCTGTCCTGGATCTCACTCTGTAGACCAGGGTAGCCTCAAACTCACAGAGATCCCTGGCTCTGCCTCCCGAGTGCTGGGATTAAATGTGCGCCACCACTGCCTGGCTAAAATAGTATTTAAATGGATTCTTAAGTCAGAGCCTCCACTGTGAATGGAGTAAGGGATATTACCTTGTTAAATATAAGTAAGTTGATGTGTCTGTTTTTAATTTTCTTTAGGGACTGGAGAGATGGCTCAGCAGTTAAGAGTGCTTTGCTTATCTTTTAGAAGACCTGAGTTCAATTCCCAGCATCCACATTCAGGCACTCACATCCACCTATAACTTCAAGTGCCAGGGAATCTGACATCCTCTTCTGGACTCCACAAGCACACAAACACACATGTGCACACACATCACACATATCACACACACACACACACACACACACACACACACACACCTACCTTTAAATGTTTTCTATAGCTGTTGATCACAAATCTATCACTAAATTACTATGGCTTGTAATTAGTTATATAATTATTCATGTATTACAGATATTTGTGTATCAAATTCATTGATACAATAATTAAGTTGCTAATTAATAATTTTGATGGCTTAGGCCACAGTTGAATAGTTTTAATATAGTTATTTTTACTATGTTCTGTTTTATTACATTTTTTTTTTTACCACAGTGTGATTTTTTTTTTTTTTTTAAGCTTAAGTTTCTTGGAACATAATGGTCTGGATTTAGGTTTTCAACATTATTTTTCAAGATTTTAAAAAATTTATTTGTGCAGGTATCTTACCTGCATGTATGACTTTGCTGCATGCATACCGGGTACCCCTGGAGGGTCAGTAGAGGGCATAGGAAACCTGGAACTGAAGTGGCAGGAGGTTGGATACTACCATGTTGGTGCTGGTAACTGAATATATGTTCTTCAAGAGCAGTAAACATTCCTAACCTATGAGCTGTTTCTTTAGCTCTGGGCCTAAGTTTTGTTATATATAAACAGCCTTGCAGGGGCTAGAGAGTCGGCTCAGAGGTTAAGAGCTCTTCCAAAGGTCCTGAGTTC